TAAACCCCTAAACCCTAAAATCCGAATACCAAGATGCACAGCATCCTCATCCTGCTCTTGATGTCGCTTGACGGACAGGAAGTTCTGACCGGAGGAGTCGATGATTGTCGGGAGCGAGCTGCACAGCGAGTGTCGGATTCAACAGATCTTAAGCTAAGTGCAGGAACGATCATATTACTTCGTGCTCCTTTTCCAACTTTGAAAGACAATCCTTCATGTGGATGCAAAAGCTACTTCAATGCAAGCCCAGCCACTAGGTGATGTCTTTCAAGCTTGCTTGGAAGTTGTTCGAGGTGGGCAGCGTCTTCTGCCGAGTCCAGTCCAGCTTCGTGGTGTCCACCTTCTGCCACTGCATGTTCCCGTAGGTGCGATAGGCGTAGAAGCCCGTCTTAGGTACGCGGATGGTCGCCCAAGACGTGTGGTCACTCTCGAGTATAACCGGGCCGTTGGGGTTCGGGGCAGTGAAGCCTTTCGTGATGAAGATGTCATTTAGAATTCCTTGAGCCAATTTCATCCAATCGTCGAGGGTATCCGGCCGAGAATTGACCTTAGAGTCTAGGTTCTAAACATCGATCCCTCAATGATTGAACAAGGATGCGGGCAAGAACCAAAGCAAGCTCTGTGATACCACTTTGGACATCCAGATCGAGCCTGTGAAATCTGCCTGGTGAAGAACATCCTCACGAAGCGCGACGGCGGCGAGGCATCTGCCGGTAAGCCGCCGGTATTGAAGCCGTGACCCTGGTCCCAGGGCACCTGACCTTGACCTGCCAAGACGTCTCCAGTTCCAAGGAGCAGCTTCTTGTTGTCGCCCTCGTCTGGCAAGATCCACCGATAGGTATTCAGGTTGTCAACATGCCATGGGTAGAAGGGGTCATTGGTCATGATTCCCACATAGTTGTTATGAACCGTGGGCACCCCACGTTCATATTCCAAGACAATCGAGCCGCCATCCTTGTCCGATATAGCCCAGTGAGTGTTGGTGTTTGTATCGGAGATTGGGTTCATGACGCAATACCTCTTGCCCGTAACTGCTTTTCGGACCTGTTCGACTGTTGAAAACGAAGTCAAGATCCATGTCGCAAGGTTCTGGATGAAGATGGTGTTTTTCCTGAGACATCGCTGGTGTATGGCTGAACACCAAAACATTGACTGGACTGCTCTTGCGCTTAGGTCTTAAAGCCCAAATCCCTAAAGCCCAAAAAGCCTTCTTCTTTCATGGGCCTAGTTTCGAGGAGGGGTCGCATTTCTGATATTCGCTGCGATATAGGGACTGCAGATTAACCGTGAGTCCCGCCTCATTCATACCATCAGCATAGTTCGGCTGGATGCCAATTCCCAAGACCCAAACTTTGCCTGGCGGTGCTCTAAGCCCTAAACCTTAAACCTAAA